TTCTTTGCTCTCTCTTTGTTCTCATCTTACCACAGTGACAGCTCCTTCTCGTCTATTTTTCTGGTTTCTCCCTAAATTCTTGGTTCCCGAGGGCGCCTGGTCTCAGTCCCCCAGGCGTTGCTCTTACCACCTGCACCCTCTCCCTCCCGCCCTGCTCTCCTCCAGCCCCTGGCTCTTTGAAACTCCTAAGGCCAACACTGCTGACTGGAGCTCTGAACCTTTTTCTGACTCTTGTAGCCCTGACTCCTGCTGGGCATCTCCCCATGGATGTCTCATTAGCGGCTCATGTTTAAAGTCCTGATTTCCTGGTTTCCCAGCAGAACCATGTGGGGCCCATCTGTAAGGTAACATGCTATCCCAGTGATCGGCAAACTGTGGCTCGCGAGCCGCATGCAGCTTTTTGGCCCCTTGACTGTGGCTCTTCCTAAGCCTTAGGAGTACCCTGATTAAGTTAATCACAATGTACCTACCTATATAGTTTAAGTTTTAAAAATTTGGCTCTCAAAGAAATTTCAATCGTACTGTTGATATTTGGCTCTGTTGACTAATGAGTTTGCCGACCACTGTGCTAACCTATTAGTACAGGAGATTTTGGAGGGTGGAGAGGCCGAGCAATAAAAATGTCCCACAAGGACAGGGACAGGTGGACAAATGTTAAACTGCCTAATGGATTATTACTTCATGTCTCGTGCTTTGGTTTCCTCATCTAAAAAGTAGAAAGAATAACCAGATATACTTCATAGGGTTGTTATAAAAAATTGATGAGATAACCCATGCATAGTCCTTAGCAAAGGCACTTAATAAATATCCAATAAGTATTAGCTGCTGTTGGGGGTAAAAAAACACACAAAAAGTTGGGGGAAAATCAAACAGCTTGATTTCCTCTCCTCTATGGGCTTCTGCTGTTTTGGGAAATGACATAACAATTCCATTTTACCAGTTGTTCAGTCCTGTAGTTATCTTTGATTCCTCTCTCTCATGACTCCCATTCGAACCACAATAAATCCTAGCGGTCCTACCTCCAAAATATATCCAGAATCTGACCATGTGTTACCCACTGCACTGCCACTACCCGAGTCTGAGTCGCCGTCAAGTCTAGAGTAGAGCAGCGGCCTCCAAACAAGGAGGCCCTACTCTCCCTTTGTCCTCTCTATTGTCCATACCTGAGCAGAAGTGATGTTATTGCTGTTCGTTTTGTTTCAGGTAAAGTCACTCCCTCAATGTCTCCTACTTCATTCAAAGCAAAACCAAAGCCCTCTGCATTGAGCCCATGGGCTTGTCTGACCTTTCCTATCACTCTCCCCTTTGACTCACTGAGTCTGGCCCCACTGGGCTCCCTGCTGCCTTTTACACACACCAGGGTGCTCCTGCCTTACAGTCTTGTGCCAGGTTTTCCCTTTGCAACCACATATTTAGGGGCCTGTTTTGCTCTCGTTCCATTAATTCTCTGCTTAAAACTCTGCTGATTTTCCTTCCTAGTACTGACTGCTGACACATACTTTCAACAGGCATTTATTGCCTGCTTCCTTCTCCACGCCCATCTACTCCTACGGCATAGAATATAAGCTCGGGGAGAGGAGGAAATTTGTTTGGTTTATTTAGAGCAGTGCCTGGAACATAGTAGGTGCTCAACAAAATCAAATGAATGAATGAAATGACATTTATTTCAATGAGCATTTATTTTCCTGGGCATCTCTAAAACATTTTATAAACATTTTATGAATCACAAGAGATAATAATTTATTTTGACAACAAATAATTGTCAGACTCTCGAAGAAAGAAATTCATATTATTAAAACTTACAATTATCCATCCAGAATATTATAGCTGGTGGTAATCCAACTGGAGGTCTGCAGGGAAGTACCAAAGACTGGCCACTTCGAAGTGTGATTGGTTCAAGTTTTTCTTTGGTCCACAATGGTGACCCTATGATATGAAATAACAACTTCTAAGTTATTTCTGGATTGAAAAAGAAAAAGAGCACTAGAAAGACAAACTAAACTTTTGGGAAAATTGTAACTCAGCATTTGTGTACATTAAGATAACAAGAAAATAAATTTTAAATACGGTGTTGAAAGTAAAAACAAAAAAGAGAAAGACAATTTTCATTCTCTGCCATTATTAGTATAAATTCTGAGTCAGTGATTCCAAGCCTAAGAGCTTATATTAAATAAATCATTAAGAAGATACCTAATAATTTCATTACAAGCATGTTCTTTACAAAAGAATGGAAAACGCTTAAATGGCCAAAGACTTGTAAAACAAATAACATAACTATACACCTATACCTTTTAATATTGTACAGTATTATATAAGTATACTTATTGATAAAACTGATGTGAGAATATACATATCGTAGTTAAGTCAGAAAAGGTTATAAAATAGTACTTCAGAATGAGCTCATTTTAAACACATACAAACATATCTAGAAAAAAAAGCAATAATTATTTCCTTGAATGGAAGAATTCATGAGTAACTTTTAAATTTATTTTTTATTTGGAATTAATTTTTTATATAATGAACATATATTACATATGTAATTTAAAAAGCTTTTAAAATGATTAGAACTGCCAATGGTAATTTTTCTTGAAATACATGCTCTTGCGCTGTTGAGAGGGTTTTGGTAGAGAACACTGCAAAAACAGCCATGTAACAGCAAGGTAGTGAGGCCATTCTATTTCTACCTGAATTCTGAAACAAGAATGCTTTAAAAAGATAACACTTACACCTCATCACCCATTTCATACTGAATTTATTCCATCTGGCTGTAGGAAGTTTGTTCATACATACAATACATAAAAAATCAATAATTAGATCAATTTGGGAAAGAAACACTTTTCTTACCCCTGGTGTTTTGTTTTGTTTTTATTATTCTGGACCTGTATAAAAGACAATGCTAGAGACTGACAAAGAATTAGGCTGAGGAATTTAGGGTAAAGTGGAAAGGAGCAAAACAAAGTCAGATTATTGGAATCAATGCTATTACCAGTATATACTGGTAATAGTATTTGGATGACGTAATAGATGCTGAGTCTCAGAGCCATGCTGTAAAAAGAGCCACCTGTTGGTGGACAGGCCCCACTTACTGGACGGACGAACAACAATGTTGTTAGAAATTGCAGCTCCACGTTCATTCCTGGCTGTGCACTGATAGACTCCTTCGTAGGTCTCTGCTTTCCCTTCGCTCATAATGTTAATTATGAGGGTTCCCGAGCCAGCCTTCATGGTGACGAGAGGGTCTTTATCTATGTCAAAATGAGTCCCATTTCGGGTCCAGGAGAAGCTGCCCAAGACATAAAAACAGGATTACGTACTCTTTAACAAGTTCCTAGTAGTTGATGCGCTTTCAGAAATACTTATTAGATTTTGATATTCCGTAAAAGGGCAATAGGCTTCACACCTAAAACGTTTCATTGAATCATGACTTACAAAAGAGTGCCGGCCACACATTTTAAGGTACATGTCTTTATTAGAACTATCCCAAATCTGACTCAATAAAGAAATCATGCGCACAAATTGCCTGTCAGTTTTCAAAGACATACAGAAAGGAGGCCTCCTAGGCACACTATCTTAGTGCTTCATTAGCATTTGCATTGTCAACTCCATTGTTCATAGAGTTGACCTATCTACAACAATTTGCTCTGGGCTGAAATGTGACAAGGGAGGCCTTCACAGGTAATCAGACAAGTTTCAAATGGCCAAAGTGCAAAGTGTAGGATGGGAAGAGATACGAGTTCAGTGGCATTTTAAATGTTGGTAATTAAAAGTGGTAAATCTATATATAATGTATTTTGAGAAATGTTTAATCCTAGAGATAATTTCTATAAATTCCATAGGCAGTATTTCAAATTATCAACTGAAATTCTTCTTTCTCAGTTTTATTTATATAGGAGATTTTCTTATATAAAAGTCACAGTGCTCGTGTAACTAAACACTTTATAACTAGTCACAAGGGCCATGCTCACACAAAGGGATACATCTCTAAACTTCACTGTTTTCTAGGACCGCTTGGACTTCCCTTCTCACCGCTCTCCTTGTAGTAAGAGTTGTGACAACTGCTAGGGTGGGAGGCAGTGTGGTGGGTGCCACTGGCATGTACTCAGTACAGGTTAGAGATGCTGCTAAATAACCTACAATGCCCAGGACAGCCCCCATTCCCACAACAAAAAATTATCTGTCCACAATATCGATAGTGCTGAGATAAAGTACATGTAAAACTAAAGGGAACTCCACCAAATTATATCATGTTAGGGCCTGAGTGTTAGAGTGTTTCTAATATGTCAGACTATATTGTTTTGAAACAAGCCTTTGATGAAAGAGTTTTAGATACTTTAGTATTTAGTATACATTCATTTTTTCCTCAGGTGCTAGTCTGTGCTAGTTTTGTAGGGCCAGCAATAGACAAATTCAGAAATAAAATATTTGGGATTCAAGACGGTGGCAGATTAGATGGAAGCTATACTCACCTCCTCCCAGGACCAAACTGGAGTTTCAACTAAAGTATAGGAAAATCACACCAAAGAACCAACTGAAGACCAGCTGGAGAGAAGTCTTACAGCCAAGGACTTGGAGAGGAGGACACATGGAAACTGGTAGGAGGTACGGAGGTACCAGAGGGATGTCAGAGCACTCACAGGCAATAGCTGAAGCTCTAGAGGATATCTCAGCTGTGCGAGGGTTCCCCTTGAGAAGTGTGGGGTCTAAACCCCAAGCCAGGCTCTCCAGGCAAGAGTGCCAGAACTCGGAAAGAAGCCCACAATAACATCTGGCTGGGAAAAGCAGGAGGTTTCTGTCCCCAGGGAGAGATGGCTAGAAATGCGGGCACCCTCTTAAAGGGCCAAGGCACAAAATTTCATTTGTAGTCATTCATCCCGAGATCAAGTGGAGGGAGGACAGAGTGGACTAGAGCTGTGTGAGCAGAGTCTGGGGTTGGTGGCACTGGGAAGAGAGCTGAGAGGTCAGCCACCAGGATCCCTGTGCTGAGTCATTCCCCTACTGCAGAAGCCATCTTTCTCCAGCAAAACATTCCCCTCCATGCAGCATCAGCCTGGCGGGAAGCAATAGCTCCAACAATTGGAAGCGCTCTCACACCACCCTGTGGACCTTCTTACACCATACGTAGTAATAGCAAACTCAAAATGGATAAAAGACTTAAAGGTTAGACTGGAAACCATAAAAATTTTAGAAGAAAACATAGACAGTAAAATCTCAGACATTCCACTGAATGGGAGAACATATTTGCTGATACATCTGATAAAGGGTTAATAGCCAAAGTTTATAAAGAACTCATGCAACTCAACGCCAAAAAACACCCCAAAAAACAATCCAATTAAAAAATGGGCAAAGGACCTGAATAGACACTTCTCCAAAGAGGACATATGGATGGCCAATAGACATATGAAAAGATGCTCAAAGTCATTGATCCCCATCAGAGAGATGCACATTAAAACGACAATGAGGTATCACCTCACACCTGTCAGAATGGCTACCATCAACAAATCAACAAATGACAAGTGTTGGTGAGGTAGAGAAAATTGAACCCTTGTGCACTGTTGGTGGGAATGCAGACTGGTACAGGCATTGTGGAAAGCAGTATGGAGTTACCTTAAAAAATTAAAAATGGGACTGCCTTTGACTCAGTAATTTGACTTCTTGGAATTATCTAAAAAAAAAAAAAAACCCAACAACCCCAAAACACTAATTCAAAAGAATATGCGCACCCCTATGTTCACTGCAATGCTATTTACAATAGCCAAGATTTGGAAGCAGCCCAAGTGTCTATCAGTAACGATTGAATAAAACAGCTATGTTACATTCACTCAATGGAATACTACTCAGCTGTAAAATGGGAGAAAATTTTACCCTGTGCGACAGCATAGATTGACTTGGAGAACATTATGCTAAGTGAAATAAGCCAGTTAGAGAAAGACAAATACCATATGATTTCACTCATGTGGAATTTAACGAACAAACTGAACTAACAAGCAAAATAGAAACAGACTCATAGATAGAGAGCAGGCAGATACCTCTGGTGAGGGGAGGGTTCAGAGGTGGTGATGAAGGAATTGAGCAAATAATAAAAAGAAAGAAAGAACTCATGGACATAGACAACAGTGTGGTGATTGTGGTGGGGGGAGGTGGAAGAAGGCATAGGGGGGATAAATGGTGATGAAAAAAGAAAATTAAATAAATTTTAAAAAAGAGATGTTTTTAAAAATTGCAAATCATGTATCTAATATAGCACTTGTATCTAGAATATATAAAGAACTCTCACAACTCAATAATTAGAAGACAACTCAATAAATGAGCAAATTATTTAAATAGATATTTCACCAAAAAAGATATAGAAGTATTTAATAAGCATAGGAAAAGGTGTTTCATGTTGTTATTCATTAGAGAAATGCAAATTAACATCTTTTCACACTCACTAGAATAGCTAAAATCAAGACAGACAATAACAAGTGTTGGAGAGGATGGGGAGAAATAGGAACATTTACACATTGCTGATGGGGATATAGAATGGGAGAGCCACTTTGGAAAATGGTTTGGTAGTTTCTTAAAAAGTTAAACATATATTTATCATAAAACCCAGCAATTACACTCCGAAGTATCTACCCAAGAAAAATAAAACCAAATGTCTACACAAAGACTTGCACAGAATGTTCACTGCAGTATCATTCATAATAGCCATAAATTATGCCAATTGAAAGATGTCAAATGTACATAAGAGTATATGTTATATTCAATTTAGATGAAATCTATGGAGAAAGAAATTATATTAGGGCCTGAGGCTCAAGGTAGTGGAGAGATTTACTGCAAAAGAGCATAAGGGAACTTTGGGGACAAAGGAAAAGTTCTAAAACTGAGTGGTGATTGTTGCACAACAGCCAATTGGTTAAAAATAAGCAAACACTTACAATGGGTAAATTCTATGGTATATAACTAAAGGATATTTTTTGTTAAAAAAAAAAAGAAAGAAAAAATTTAGAAATTTTCACTTTTTATTATTAAAAATCCACATTACATTTCATAATAATAACCTAACTCTCCCAAGCTCCTATATATTACTGGACAAGTTATCAATCATCCACTAATTAACTGTGGGATCATGGGTAAGATATCTAGAATTACTAGGAATCAGTTTCCCACCTATAAAATATATTCATTGGACCAGATAATCTCTAGCATCTCCCCCAACTCTAACATGCCATGCAGTGCTCACTGCAAGATCCATTTGGAAAATCTTGAGTTACTGAACCCAGCCAAGTTAGTAAACCTACTTACAGCTATTTTATAGACCTCTCTAGAGATAGGAAAGATATGAGAAATCATCAAATTCAAGTTCTTTATTTTACAAATACAGATACTGAGGCCCAGACAAGAGGGATTTGCCTATGTCATAAGGCCATGCGAGCCACTAGAACGCTCTTTCCACATCTCTCCACAATTGTTAGAGCATTTTACAGAAGGGCATGAACACAGAAATGCTATCTGGGTTTCCAAAAAAGGACAGGCTGTAAGTAGAGGGACAAAACACCTACAAATGATGCTCGGAAGATGTGCAGGACCTGAAATGAAGCTCATGTTAGTGCCAGTGCTTACTCTCAGTACCATGACACCCACCTGGGCGGAGGCTTCCCTTTGGCCTCACATTGGATTACAATATTCTCTCGAGGGTCAACAATGTAATCTTTTGGAGACTGTTGAGTGATGGTTGGAGGTTGTACCACTTAATTGTAGAAAGAAGAACAATGTAAAGAAATAAATCACTTAATATCATAATAGCCATCATTTTTTTCTATAGCAAATCACTTACCCCAGACTAAATATGCTCCAAAGGCTTTTAGTAATGTCTATGGTGGCAGCACCTGCCCCAGTCGATTCTCACCAGCAGTCTTCCGAAAACTTTGAAGTCAAGGAATAACTTCTTTTGGTAACCCACATGCACTCACAAAGCCCATTTCCCCACTAAAAGACTGGGAAAATAATTACCAATACAAGTTTAATATTAGGATAGTTTTTTTTTCTGATGTAACAATGAGAATTTGCTCTAATTCCTTCGGTTCAAACAGGCCTTTCAATGAAATTTAAGTGATGATGCTAATTTGCATTTCTTAGTAAAGAGTAACTGACTATGCTCATTCGTGAGCTGATGTATGTTAATATACAGGGTGGGGCAAAAGTAGGTCTACAGCTGTTTATATGGAATATTATACAATAGTTAATAAATAATAATATAAGAACAGACTTTGTGTTTCACATACTCACAACTGTAAACCTACTTTTGCCCCGCCATGTATGTTGGGAACAAATAAATTTGAGGACTGAATGTTTAAAAGATGGTTAAGTTAGAGACTGGACATGTCTTACTAGAACCAGGATGGAGGTGGCTAGTAAGAACAAAGGTAAAAGTCTTATTTAGAAGATAAATAGATTTGGGAAGTTCTCTGTTACAGGAGATGATATTTTCATTCCACTCTTCAAAGTGTTACATGATTATTTATTATCAAATCATAGGGCAAACCCGTTATTGACCCAGAGCAATTTAATCTGAAGCAAGCTGGTTTCTGGACATCCAACACTCAATTCACTCTAAAATTACCATGTTCTTTTTGTGACATCAGAATCAGGAGTGTTAGAACAGGGGAGGACTAGAGCAAGTATTGATTTCAGCTTATTGTTTTGCTTAGGGCAGCAACTAGGCTTGACTAGGAAGGCACACAGCAGAGAAAAGAGCCAAACTCTCCTGGTAGAAACCACTGACTTGCATACCTCCATGGAGAGCCACTCATATGGACCAGAGTTCCTCAACCAGGGCAGTTTGCCCCCACCCCTTGGGGGGACATTTGGCCATATCTAGAGATGATCTTGGTTGTCACCTCTGAGACCTGGGGTGGTACTGGCATCTGTTATTGCAGAGGTCAGGGGTGCTGCTAAACATTTTACAATCTATAGTGCCCCCTCCGGAACAAAGAGTCATCTCAATCATTGAAGTTTTTCATATTTTCGATCTACGCTTTCCTTTGCCCATGCTCTGTGCTTCCTTTGGGAAACTCTTCCACTGCCACCCAAGTGTTTCCCTAAGCTTCATAACTGCGCTCTGCTCTTGCCTTTCTTTACTGTGGCAAATTGTGGCCAGAGCTAAATTTATCATTTCCACATCGAATGTCTTATAAACCTGCAAATATGGATCTCTTGTGTTGCTTGGTCTCCAGCCTTGCGCTGTCCACCAGACATCTTTTATTAAATATCCAAATGACACCTAAAAACGGGTCAAAAGATGAACCCATTGCTGTCTCTTTTCTTTTTTATTGTCCACCTATTAAATGCAGGATACTGGACAGTATCAATTCTCCTCCCTTCAGTAAGATCTGTCCCCCTCCTTGGCCTCCTGATGAGCCAGCTGCTCTTCGCAGCCATGACACAGAAACCTCATTCTTCCAGCCCTGTCAGGAAGATGTTGGCTAGCAGTTTGGTCTGGTGGGTAAGAACTAGTCTGTTTCTTTCTTACCAGTTTTGAGACCTCAAGCAAATTTTTTAACTTCTGTAAGACCTCGTTTCCTTAGAGAGAAAATGGGGTTTCAAAGTAGTATCTAATTCCTAGAGTCACTAGAGGATTAAATAAAACAATCTGGGTAAAATTATTAGTATATGTCAATACTATAATGGCTCAGTAATGTTAGCTATGTTTACATTATTATCACAATCATTTCTATTTGGACCAGCTTCACCTTTGAGTGATCCTGTATGCTCTGGGAGTATAGAGTTTGGGATGATGGAAAGAAACGTGGAATTTCACACCCAGGGAACAGTGAACATAGGTGGTAGGTGAGGGAATTCTTAGGAGTGACTCAGCCCAATTCCTCCTTCTTTTCTGCAAGTGGTAGAGGTGGACGACTAGTGGTATCACACCCAGAACTTCTATTCATGTGTTTGCAATAGAATTGGCTTAGATGTCACCCCTAAGGAGTTTACCATCTAGACCTACCTATTTGAACAGTGCTTAGATCACCTAGCAACTAACAAATGTTTTGAAGTACTATGTAAAAAAGGTGGTTTCACATAATTTTCCTGGTTAATCCAACATCAAAGGATTTTTCATTTGCCTGAAAACTCTTTTTTTAGGCAGATGATAGATGCTGTTCAACTGGTGCCGAGGGGCAGCAGAAGTTTTTGCTTAGAGCAGGCCACTTGGGAACGCTGTGAGGAAGGGCTGTTTAGTGCCTTTTGCACACTTCAAAACAATATTCAAATTCTCCAGGCCATTATACCAATGGCACCTGGAAACACCTCACTACACGGTCCTCAAGCTGAGGAAGGATCAGAGAGTATATAGATGCCAACTGGGTGAAGCGTCAGCATGCATCCAATTTCTAAAAGGTACCAAAAGACATGTCTGTATTCCAGCATTCCAAAAAGCATTTAGAACCAGATAGTCATTTTCTGTAAATTTAATGAATTTTCTCATTGAGTTACATCAGAAGTGAATAAAGCACAGACATTAGTAGAACATAGTATTGGTAAATGAAAAATAGTAATACCTGAGTCTTCAGAATTCATGCAGGGGATATATTAAACTTGCTTCTTGGTATTTTAACATTTAGCCACAAATAAATACACATGCTTAAAAACACGTTAGTCACAAAACATAAAATTGTGCATTTAATTCACACTATTCATTCAAAAACAAAGACATGGCCAAATTTTCGCATTGCCTAGTAATTGCCAAAGGACACTTACAGTCTTCAAGAAGTTTTGCTTTTCCCCATCAATATCAGCAGTTGAGTGGGCAAACAGGATTAAAGAAAATCAGATGTTAGTGATAAGAATGTTAGAACCCTGAAGATAAAAAGGGCATCTTGACATGATTTGACCTAAAAAACTAGTATAGCAGAGCTTAAAGTTGTGAAGTGGTAGGAGAAAGAAGCTCCCATTCGTGGGTTTGTTTATTCCTGTAGCAGTTATCCCATATCACACACGGAAGAACAAAAACATAATTCTTCCAGGAATAAGAATGGCTACTTCCATTCCATCCATGTTGTACTGGACAAGTAATTATGTTCAATTTGGGAAACAGCTGAAGTCTATAATTATTCTGAGTTGTCACACACTGTGTAGTGTCTGATCCCATCATCCGAGACATCACTGTGCACATAATAATAACACTTACCAATGGGAACATGGCCACAATGACAATGTTCCATCCAAGACAAATCCAACACTGGTTTCAGGTTTTTATATTTCTATGGTTAATACCCATATCTGTAATAAACTTTTCAGATGCTCAGCATATTTCTGCTTTCAGAATTCCTCCATCACCCAGGGATTGTCAGTAGCCGCATCAAGGAGCGTCTCGTGTAGAAGGGATGTAAGGAATAGGGGCAGGGAAGCAATCACGTAAGTACGCAATTCAAATGATTCCGCAGGGCTGCCTGGCACTAGCACTTGCAAAGGTTAATACAGGAGCCCCTGGTTGTCCTCGACTTTCTTGTCATCATGGTTATGCCTCTTCTCCATCAGCAGCAATAACTGAGTTAGCCGTCGGTGACTATTTCCTTCTGATTGTTAGATTGAGCAGCCGGATTAAGGGGGAATAAAACATTGCTCTCCAGTGCTTTGATCTCTCTCCTACATACCTCTTAGGGCAAATGCTTACTTCAGCAATCCAACTCCAATGAGCCTAGTGATCCTTTTTTTTAATTGAAATTAAGGTAATTGAAAGAATATGTTTTGAAAATAAGCAAAATATTGTATTTTTTTGTACTTTAGACTATAGAGGCACAGCAAAGGAATTCAACAAAGTGTGGGGCAAACCACATCTCTTCTTAGTGTCTTTCCACTGGCAGTTGCAACCTCTTTGGGGAAAAATGACAACCCAACAATCGAATAGCCCCGGGAAAGTACTATCTTCCTTGCACCTTGGAAAGCTTGCCAAACGGATGTTCTATTCAGGAAGCTAATGGATTTAAAGAAGTCATGCAGATTGGGGATAAAGAATAAATCAATTCTGAAGTTTAGTAATTGTCCAGATTTGAAATTCTAATTTCAAGTGCAGGAAAAGTGATCAGTTGAAACCAAGCGTTGTCTTCATTTTTCATAAATAGGCCACACAGACCAGGGAGAGTCCAGCATATACTTAACTACTAGGAAAAGAGTAGGCTAACACAGTAGCTGTTCTTGCTCTATTTTAAACAGTGTTTTTGCAGATGACTTCTTGTATTTTCAAAATTTACATCTTGAGCCTGGCAGTGTGGCTCAGTGGTTAAGCAGTGAGCTATGAACCAGGAGGTCATGGTTCAATTCCTGGTCAGGGCACATGCTGCAGTTTCGGGCTTGGTCCCCAGTAGAGGGCATGCAGGAGGCAGCCGATGATGTTTCTCTCTCATTGATGTTTCTCTCTCTCTCTCTCCCTCTCCCTTCCTCTCTGAAATCAATAAATTATATATAAAAATAAAAATTAAATCTTGATCTTTGTTTTTTTAAACAAAGAATGCTTTAGATAAGATGCATTTCCTATATTTAAATTAATATTTAAGATTCCACAATCAAAGGTGAATTTTGTCTTGCCTGAAGAGAAATGAATTATGCATAGTCTGGGGATGGAAAAGTGGTGTGGGGTTGGCCGAGAGACTACCCCCCACCTTTTCCAGAGCACTCCGTATATGAGAGGGTGGAGAAGCGGGGAGGGTGTAATTGGGGAGGTCTCCACAATCATTTTAAAGTAATTCATATAGTTTTCTTGCAGGACTCCTTCTATAAAGAGTCCCCTGTGGGGAGGATCAGGGCAGCCCGCAATTCACTCCTTCTCAGGCCAGCCCCTACCCCCTGGTACACAAAAGGCACCTGGGGGCGCAGAAAGATAATGATAGGGCGGGTGCAATGTGTCTGATCGTTTCAATGGCCATTTCTTTGGTGCGGTTCTTTATGAACACCAGGTGCTGAAGGTAAAAGCCAAATTAATTTTGATTAGCTTTTCAGTCTCACACAGACACCTTCTCCATTCACACAGTTCAGTGTAACGGTAAATGCTGGGGAGGTTTCGACTCCCGGGCCTAAAAGCTTTAAAACGTTAATACTTACAATCGAGAGGCACATCCAGTGCACTAATCATCTGGCACAGGAAGAGAATCAGGGGCACTCTGCCTGCAGATAAGCGCTTCTTTTTCGGCATTATTTCCAGCTGCATTAGCTTAACTCCTGCTGAGACCCACAAGCTGAATTTCCTTTTCTTCTCTCACAAAAGATGTGTGTGCAATGTCTAAATAATTTTCATGCAGGAAACTGAAAAAGGACAGAATAAAAATTATAGTGTATTAAAAAGAAGGAAATTAAGAGCGGAAACCGGCAGCAAAGAAAATCAGTCCTGGATTATACATGAACTCTAAAAGCGAGCTAATTTTTAAATATTTAACTCTCGGGACTAGAATAATCATTTATTCATAAAGCAGCTGAAATCAGGTCAGAAATATTGGTAGTGATGCTAAGCAAAAATCTGTCTACTCTGCTATCTTTATTTTTCCATTTTATTTTTTATTTATTTTTTTAATATTTTTTTATTGTTGATAGTACTGCTATGAGAGGGAGAGATAGAAACATCAATGATGAGAGAGAATCATTGATCGGTTGCCTCCTGAAAGCCCCTACTAGGGATTGAGCCTCCCTTACCTCCCGCCTCCCAGCCCCTACCCACCCCTCAGGGTCTTCACTACCCTATTAACTGTGTCCATGGGCTATGCATGTAAGATTATAAATTTCTTGGTTTCTCTCTTCTGGTCCCCCCAACCTCATGTTGAGATATGTCAGTCTGTTCCATGTCTCTGTGCTTCACATTTTTTTGGTCAATTCATTTCCATTTTAAATATCTGCATTCACATCAGAGCCTGCCATGCCGTTCACACAAACTTGACTTGTAAGTCAGTTAGGAAGTGTGACGTTAGAGGGGAGGCCTATGGGCTACTCCATTCTAGAGATTATTTCTGGGAAACTCCAGGGCATTGCTGCAAATTTGCTCCAAACCCCACACTGATTTACCAGCTGAAGTACTGACAATTCAGGCCTTCCCATCTTTCACGTAGACTAGGGCAGCAGGTACGCCTGGGCTCTGCGTTCCAGGCCTTCCTCACTGAAGTCACCCTCCTGAGCACTGTCAATTCTTTCTAAAGGGTCTTCTGTGGTTAAATATTGGGAGTGGCCATATGGGATCTACCAAATAGAGTTCAATATATCCTTAAACAGGTAATTTAAAAAACCCCTCAATAACTTGGCTACATTTTATCCTACCAACCTTATCTGTTCCTATTTCCATATAACTTTTTTGTTTTGCTTGTTTGATGGTCTCTTTCTTTTTTAGGTCAATACCTTGAATTTTTCCACCTTTTTGTCTTATCTATTCTATTCCTTCTCCTTGGAATGCCCATTCCACCATATTTCCTTATAAAAGTCCAATTTATTTCTGTATAGATCTGTTAAAATTGAAACATTAGCTGATCATTAAAACTAGAAGTCATTTTCCCTCTAAAAAATCCTGAAATTCCTTACTTTAATCATCACATGTTAGATAGATAGATAGAAAGATAGAGAATCAAATAGGTTATTTTTGTATTCATGCTCTCTACTCTACTACTTCAGGCCTCTCCCATCTTTGTATCCCTCTCCCTTCATGTAACCTAGTGTGCCTTGCACATTAACTGTTACTGTCCACAGGAGAACATGAGCACAAACACAGAATACAGACATGTTTTGCTGGCAACTGAGTTCTGATAAAAACCTAATTACTATTATAATTGGACACTTCTTTCTAAATAAATAAATAAATAAAAGAATTTACTGTGCTAAATATAGATACTATACATACATAAATATTTTGTGAATGAAACATCCATATTGTGTAGTTTCATTTAAGAACTAGAAAAGTGGCTTTCCATAATATAATATATAAACAATCAGGCCCATTAAGCATTGAGAGGCAGGTATAGAAGCTCACACAACCATTTCTAACCCAAGTACAAACCAGACTGTCTTTCTGTGTGTGTACATCAATTAGCCAAACTTCCTTATGTCTCTCATGACCTTCTGTTAAATTGCGAACTTTGAATTTGCTCATAAGCTTCAGGGAAAATGACAATACCTCGCATAAATGGCACTAAAACAAGTTGATGTACATACTACACATATTCAGAGATAACCACAGAATCAAACACTGAGAAAACAAATGGCACACCTGCCTGATTTATGCGTCAGAGTAATTGAGTTTATTCGACTTAAGTGCCTCGCTCTCTGAATAGGTGCTGGAGAACTGAAACACTTTCTCAAAGGTGTACTAATACGTTATAATGCTCATAAGATCTTAAGCAACCACAAACAATTTCTGTTTTAAGTTCTTCATTTATTATTTATTTTTCCTGGATGCCTTAACTAGTTGTCCTTCAAAATCAAGAAAACCATTAGACAACTTCAAATAAAAGTAAGTATCATTCAACCTGCTTTACCTTTTAAGAGTATATATATGGAACAAAATATGGCATTTTAAATCACAGTGTTGCATAAAGAAAAAAAATTAAGAAAAATTGAGAAAGCACTTACTTAGAGAGCCAGGAGTAAATCCTCACAATGAGAGAGGCATGAACTATGACAATTGAAAATGTGGTCTCTCTTCCAAGAAGTTGTAAGTTAACTGCACCAGCAGCCATGAAATTGTGTCCAGGATAGGTTCTGTCTGAGGAGGACAAAGCAATGGCTCAGCCCATCCTCTGAAGCCTGCCCCTGGAAATTCACTCACTCCTCCTACGTATGCTGTCATAGGTGAAAAACCCAATGCCCAAGGACAGCATTAAGTCCCCAGCACTCAGTCAAAGCGCAAATCCAATACAGCTACAAGAAATGACGCTTGCTCTCTGCAAGAGTAATGTGTGCTGCACGTCTCACAAAGAAACACCACTGCTTCTGCACTCAATATTGATGTCAACGCCCTGCCCTGCCAGGAGCCCATCAGCCTTGTAGTTTACCTTGAAAAATGATGGTCATTCTCTCGTACATGAGAACCATGAGCAAAAACTAAATTTTTCATACAATGACATTCGAATAAATAAAACCCCAATATGAAACAGCAAGTCATGTGTATTCAAAGCTAAAGAGTATGTGAGTACAATATAGCTTGTAATTTGGAAAAAAAAAATTTGCCACAGACATTTTAAAGCATGCTGGAATGAAACAAATGGTAGGTTCCTCTTTGGAATATAAATCACCCTGATATTTGAAACCACATATATTGTTAAAATGACCCAGACTAATGATAAACAATAAAGCCTTTTCATATTTCATTTAATGCCATTCAAAGCAACTTTTCACACTTGAACTCCAGAACCTCTTACCTCCTTTCTTCAGTAACTTTTCATCATTAGAAAAGATATACAATTCAAGAGTCCCTTACTTCTTTTAGTCCAAAATTCATATTAAATCATACAGCAAATATTCTCCTGCATTATTTAAAAACCTAAAGCTGTTATTAAGCCCAAGAAACATAGCTCTTGTGTTGTTTACTTAAAAAGTCTTGTCACTAGAAAGAAAATAAAATATTTTTCTTTCAAGTGAAAGATAAAATTAGTTTAATTAAAAAACTGGGAGGCCAAGCATTACTTACCATTTCATTCTAATCTGTACTTTTGAGCATCCCAGCATGGGTGGTTTGATGCTGACTGCACAACGTAAGATGACCCACTCTCTGAGCCAATAAACTCGTGGCTGGATGCTCCTTGGCACACTCATCATTGCTCTCCTGACTCATCAGTGGCTGGCCTCACTGACTGGACAGCTAACTGCGTGGGACATTATCTTCACCGTGAAAGGCATTTTTCAGCAATGAACCTGAGGATGGTTACTTTTTATATTTTGTCCTATATTTACCGATAAGCACATGAATGCCCATTTCTAGCCCATACCTGTGCTTTTCAATCACAGTTTTTGGGTCTGAGACTATGGAAGGAAGGTTAGAGAGAATGGACAATGACTTCACATAATTAACACATCGACAAAGTCACCCTTAAATCTACGCAACAACACTACGATGAGTGCGCCTCAGAAAACAGTAGCTTGAGATGTGACGACAGAGATTGTCAAGGCAAACTTTATGAAGTACCAAGGAACAAGTTTCTAATTTCCTCCTAGCCCAAAGTGATGTCCCATAGTAGAGTTTCTACAAGGAATCTGGTAGCTAGAACCTGGAGCAGTACTGAAAGGTTAACAATTAACCGATTTTTTTATTTTTTACCCCAATAACAGATAATGGAATACAACTTGAAAATAACTCAAATCTCCACTCCTCTGAGCAGTATAACTTATTTGATATTCATAAAAGCTCCAGGAAATAGGAAAGCAGGTATTATATGCATTTAATAGATGAGGAGAAAAAAACCAATCACAGTGGACGGCTATTATTCACCAAGAACCTTCCATGTGCCAGGAGTCACACTGAGTCCACTCCCTGCTTTAATTTACCTCATCTTGTCAATAATCCCCAAAGGTAAATTCTATTACATGCTCCAATTTCCTGATACAGAACCCAAGATGCAAGGTGGTAAAGTCATGTGCCTAAGGACACACAGTTAGAGAAGCTCCAGATCTAGTTCTGAAAAGTTCGGGAGCTTTCAGTTATCTCACATTGTCACACCCTGAGAAGCCCCTAGCATTTCCCTCCCTCTCATATCCTCTTATTTTACGTTTAGTCAGTTTGCAAACAGAATGACCAAGGTAGGCACTGGTGTTTAAAAATAAAAAAATCATGAATGGTTTCTGAATATCAACTGATCTCCACAGTTGGCGTCTATGAGGATGGTGCCAGCTGGGATTGTACCGAGAGCTGGCCCTGGACTTTTAAAGGAACCGCAAGTCAGGATAATGCAGATAAGACACACTTTAAAAGTTAACTTAAAAGTAGGCAATATATGTACATATTACAACATTCATAAGGTACAAAAGACCATATAATTCAAAGTAAGCAAGCCAGAATCCAAGGTTCTCCCCTTGTGAGTGTTACTATTACCAAGTTTTGTAAATCCTTCTGGAGATATTTGTTGCATAAAGAAGTATAAAAATATATAAAATAATGTTTTAAGGACCTCTTGGGTTTAGAAAAAAATTTAAAGCCTTTTGACTGGTGTTAAACAACCAAAAATATCAATGTCTTTCAATGGAATCTAATTACCTGCCACACGAAATTATTTTGATACTGGCTTTTCCACACCTCCTTTATTAAGCACAGAAACTACAAGGAAGGACATAGTAGA